GCCCGACGGACGGGTCGGTAACCGTCGCGACGGGCCGTCGGACCCGTCGAAACGGGAACGGGTCGGAGCCCTAGTTACTTTGCGCGAGGCGTGCGTGTGGAGGCGCCCAGGAGGAGACGGTAGGAGTGCCAGGGCGGAGGGGCGGAGGAACATGGTCGACGCGAGACGCAAGTCGCTACTGGAGGAAAATCAAAAACCCTGCGCGCCTGTGAGTAGAAAAGAGAGAGAGCTCTTAGTGACAGTGACGTAACTGTCTCGATGTCATCGAGAATCAGAATCGAGATGCATCGCTTTGACCGCGTAGATCTTGGACTAGTATCCTCAAATTCAATTGCCACTCGCGAGTAAGACTGTTGCTTCATTCGAGCCCACCATGCTCACCCTCACACTCTCGCCATCGACTGGGTTGTTCACTCGGCGCTGTGAATTATCTGAGAGTGAGTTGCTTAATGCTGGTTCGAGTCCCCAAACAGCCCGGTAATCGTCCCATTCCATGAAAGTTACTCAGAATATAGGGGCAGCTCCGAGTCTGGCATCGAAAGACCCATCCATTCCAGCGCTACTCGGGTTACAGAGAATAAGGGGGCGGCTCTTCTGCACCCATCGCCCGAAGGCGCTCTACCTCTGCTGTGAGTACAGCAATTTGCCGGTGCAACTCCGAGTTTCCGCCCCCTTCTTCGGTCGGACTTCCGGCGCTCGGTGTGCGGAGATTGTGCAGCCGTGCCTGCACCGCGCGCATCTCCGCATTAAGAGCTGCCTTCGGCCCGTGAGGGGCGTGCTCTTCATATGGAAGGGGATCAACTGATGTTTCAAAAAAAAAATTCAGAATTGCATTTTTCAGATAAGGAGATCGGAAACTTGCCCAGCTGGTTGTTGGCCTGCCTAGACTTGAAGCGCCGGCGAACGAAGAATAGAGCTGAAATGACCAGCGCAATCCCGACGAATACCCCGACAATCACTCCCACGATGAGAGCCGGACGTAACGAGGACACTTTCCTCATGCTACCGCTAGGCTGGCCGGAACCGGTCGGCGCTTGAGCTGATGGACTGCTAGTGAGAGTACTGCTGCTCCCTATCTTGCTGGGGGTTACGCCTGGCGCGGTTGCTGTCCCACGAAGAGAGTCGGGCAACGTTGTCTCTATTTACGTATGACGACGAATGAGCGTAGGATGAGCGGGGAGAGTCTTTCGACTTACGAACAGCCTGGAAGGTAGCTTGTGGCTTCGCAACCCCGTCACTCATCGAAACATTGCTTGGAGTCAGGATCCAGAAATATGGGAAGCTGATATTCGCTCCAGCCCAGCTGCTGCCTCGATCCCCCCACCAGCTATCATTTACCGGAGCTGTGATTTCACCTGCCTGACTGACCGGGTTGATAACATTCGAGAAGTGGAGGATCTGCTGCTGGCTGTCCGCATGGAAGAGGTATATATCGAGTATGGAGACACCGACTAGATCGACGAATGCCGCGTTCCCTAATTTCCTGATAGTGAGCATGATAGACGCACTGGCAGCGGTGACACATTTCGGCGTACAGACAAGCGCAGTGGATGCATCTTGAACGGCGACGGTGTTCACCATAGGATAGCAATAGAGAATCGTGTTGCCCGCGTTCGGTCCGCAATTGGTCTTCGCGGCGGCTTTTGGGCTTCAGTTGAGCCGTGCGTAGATCAGAGATGATGAGCCTACCGAGCTCCGACTCGAGGTCAGACATAGAAAATGGAGTGCGAGAGAACGTGACGAGATTCCAGGTGTTTTCTGCTTAAAATACTCATTTTAACGGAACACGTCGTCAGGGAGGGAGAAGGAGAGTTGCTTGACAGATCGGTGATAGATATCCGAGTCCACGAGCACCCCGGAAAAGGTTGGAAGAGGTCTGGCTCGTCTGTGTATAGAGGACAAAGAACTGTTCGTGTCCTGAAGTCAGAATTGATTCAACAAAAGGACCCCAGTATTCCAAGGATTGTATTTCACAAGATATTCCACAAGGCAGCTCGAGCGCCAATCTGCAGATAACCATCCAATATTTGAACGCAGCCACGATATTCTGGAGACCGTTGTTACCGGGGGAGATGCCCCAGCGGATCTCCTCGCATTCGGTGATGCTCCTCGCCGATGTCGGCGAGTTTGAAGGTAGTCTCTCGTAGACAGACGCTCTATACGATCTTGCTCGTACCTCGCTGTATAGAGTCTGTTAGTTACCGCGGGGTCGTGTATGTAGTGCTCCCTTATTACGTGATCTTACATAACCTCGGTAGGCGATGGTTCGAACCCGGCCGCAACACTCATTTTTAAAATAAAGTATTTTGTTGCCCCGCAGCCTTAGGTACCTCGCATTTATATTTCCCACTGCAAAGAGGCTCCGGCTGATTTCTCCTTTTTTTTAAGGCCATTGCAAGGTCAACTTTAATAATTTCATGTTTCTGAGCCAAGCCATTGCATACAAAAGTCGCGACCTCCATAGCATATTTTCAAGGGCCTTTTTCAAGAAGCCAAATCAACAGATAGTTAGTAATAGATAACGAAGCCTCATTGGTCTTCAAATTAAACAGAAAGGTGTGTTTCTCATGGAAAGGGACGCGACTCGGAAAAAGCTTATCTAAGATTATGTAATAATGGAGCACTGCATACACAGGCCCGCGGTAAACACCAGACTAGTTTGAAGGTGTGCGTTACGTTGTGCGAGGCGTAGCGTGCACTATGGAGGGACGCGGAACTAGTGCAAGGATGTGCGAGAATATTTGAGACTCCAGTCGCTACGGAAGGAAACCAAAATGATTTCAGGCTAGGTGCAAATCATACTCTCAGTAGTCGAAAAGACATTGCAGAGAAGAGGAAAGCCAAAAAAAGTGGATCTTGACCACGAGTGACGATGACGTCACCGTCACGGTGTGGGATACATCGCTTTGACCGCGCGCGTAGATCCTCAAATTCGATTGCCAACTGGCGAGGAAGACGTTTCATTCATTCTCACACTTATTTATTTAGTTAGTTTCCCTCTTCCGCAAGAAGTGTTAATAACTTACTAACGGCGCTGGGAATGAATATATTATATGAATACTTATCTGGGTTGCTGAAAGGCTTATTCAACCAGGATTAAAAGTCTCAGTGGCTACACATCTTCTCGGGGCGCATCCCACAGAATAAAATACAAAAAGAGCATCGAAGCGCTAATAGGTCCTCGGGTGGGTTCGAACCACCGACTCTCCCTCAACTTTGTAGTAGTCTCTTAATTATCTGGGAGTGAGTTGCTTATGTTACTCCACGAGGACTCGTTCACCTATGTCAACACAAGTCATAAGTCATAATTTTATTCTTCCCATCATCTGTACGGTTGTATTCAATACTTGGGCTGAACAACGGTATTGAGGGTATAATGAGGCGCACAAGCTAAAATCCGGTACCCAGGAACGGGAAGGCATAATCAAAAAAAAGCAGATGCAGAAATTTGAAAGAGAGAAAAGAAAAAGACGTTCGAAATATGTCCTCGGGTGGGTTCGAACCACCAACTCTCCCATGTACACATTACAACATAGTTGGAGATCTAATCTGCAGGAGCGAGCTGCTGTACTCCACAAGGACTCATCCACCTATGTGCTTACCGACATTACACTATACATTATAATTCTGCATTCGAGTCGTCGCTGTGCGAGTTCAACAAGGATCTGTCTCCACCTTGCATCAAAGTTCACAACAAAATCCAAACCTGTTGCGTTCTCCACTTTCACTATTCTATTCAAACACATTTCCTTTCTTCCAAAAGGAAGAAAAAAACATCGATCGAAACTTCATTCATGTACCCGGGTGGGTTCAAACCACCGACTCTCCCGCAGGCGCGGGAAATGAGTATCCGGGGTGCTCAGAGAGTGCTTATTCCATGGACACTTCACTGATATCGGTTACATATATTCAAAGATGCACTACATTTTGAGGGCCCCTCGGCCGACTGATCGAGGTCGGCCGAGGTCGGCCAACCCAGTCGAGCCCCTCGGCCGACCTCGGCCAACCTCGATCAAGTCGGCCGAGGGGCTGTCAAAATGTAGTGATGTTCTTGGGTGCACCGAACAAAAATAAAATAAAAGAAAGAAAGAAACTCTCAGATGCAGAGCATACGTCCTCGGGTGGGTTCGAACCACCGACTCTTCCCACATCGAACAAGAGTTTTTGATCATTATCTGGGAGTGAGTTGCTTTTATTATCATTACTTCACGAGGACTCATTCACCTACTTACCAATTTAAATATGACTCACCACTTTGCCCAACGAATCACTATTCCCGTCGTGGGTATGGTTGTTTTCAATAGTCCGAGTGCTGAAATCTGCGGGTATAACGACTTACAGCCATTGGCAGTACCGAAGGCGCGGATCGAAATTTTTTCATTTTGGGATGTTTTTGAAATGGCTGTAACCAGCAAAATCCGGTACGGCATAATCAAAGAAAGCGTTAAGCAAAAATGTGAGAGACAGGAAAAGATAATGACTCAGACAAGGGTGGGGTGGAATTGAATCCCGAAATCAAATCAAATTTAGATGTTCTGTTCTTCGCGGGACACCCACGTTCTCTCCACAGACCAGATTTCGAACTTGGATGGAAGCTCGGACCCCAAGACAAAAAAAAAGAAGAAGCCATACAGCATAGCCCTCGGGTGGGTTCGAACCACCGAATCTCCCACGTTACAGCTGAAGATCTGATCAGTGGGAGGGGAGCTGCTGTGCTCCACGAGGACTTATCTACCCGCATACCGAGATGGCTCTTGACAATCCGAAATTCGGATTCCTTTGACACTGGTGACAGATGAACTCCGACCCGGCTGTGATTTCAACGCCAAATCAAAGCAGTAGCAGAAAATAAGGGGGAAAAAAGAAAAACAAGAAAATGCTCCTGGACGAACACATCCCCAGGTGAAATCAAACCGCCGATTCTTCCCTAGACCAAAATGTTGTTAGAGTCTTCGCCCAAACATGAATGCCAAAAATAAAAAGGTAATTGAAGGTCCCCATGTCCCAGGGTGGGTTCGAACCACCGACTCTTCTGAGTGGCGGCCGGCTCAGATCTAATCTGCAGGAGTGAGCTGCTCTTCTCCACTGGGACTCAACCACTCAAATACCAAATGACTCCATGCAACCCCGCCGTGGCTACCATTCTGTGAGTTTCAAAACTTAATTCATGCGACTTTTGGATTCCAATAGTTAATTTTCAATATCTAATGCATCAGCTGAGAGCTAGACTCGTCACCAGTCTGCCATTGAGGGCAATTCTTAGTGCAAGCACTTTGCCATAGGCAGACTGGTACAACTCGGGCGGCCCAATTGGGCTGAGCCTGAGTTTGAATTTTTTGATCTCTCTTGTTTTGAGCTCAAATCTTCTCATTTTTTCTCGCTCTAAAGAAGGAGTCTCAATGGAATGTTTATGCTCTCAATTCTGCCTCTTCAGAATGTCCATATACCAGCCAAGGAGTCTAGAATTTTGAGTAGTTTTTACTTGAGAAATCTATATAAAGCCTGAGATAACCGAGAACGACGTCATCAACATCATCGGCCCCACTTAAATATTTCAAACTCAGGCCCAGCCCAATTGGTCTGCCCGAGTTGTACCAGCCTGCCTACGGCAAAGTGCTTGCACTAAGGATTGCCGTTAATTGGCAGGCTGGTCACGAGCCTAGCTGAGAGCTCCATCCCTCTGCCTGGAATCCCGGATTGTTCTGTCTTTTGACACGGGCACGAGCAAAACTGACTCGAACAAAGGTGCAACTTGAAAGTTCCATTTACATTAAGATCTGTTTTTGTATTCAACTTTTGAAAAATGAGTCTCAGATATTACGGCGAGTACGGACAGACGGACACATGCTTACTCTAAAACGCATACTTATTCGCACTTCCACATGTACCATTGACTCGCACTTGGACTTACTGAGCACCTAGAATCGTATCTCTGCGCGAAAATAAAGAACTTCCACGCAAGATGACATGTGCATTGTGCACACTGTAAGGAAATCAAAGGAAACGAATAGCATGCAATTCATTGAGATGAGTGTGGAATAATGAATATATAATGTACAGTCTGGATGTAAGTAATTGCTATCTAATCTCGAGTCCACGCCTCGTTGCGCTCATGAGTTATCTTATCCTCACCTTTCCTGGGGCTTCCCACTCTCACCCTCCTGCCGCTCGCCCCCAGACTTTGCGCGCCCACCCTCCAAGGTAGACAGCCTGAGAGGAGTCTTGGTACCCCTCATATACGAGTGTCGACAAATCCTTACGAATGCGAACGAAGTGTATGTGGGAGAGACGATGGTTCGAATCCACCCCGCCGGGACATAAGGCTGTTTCCTTTTCCTTTTTTTCTCTTTCTTTCTCGGTTTCCCTCTTTGTTTCGATGTAATGAACTCAACCACACCAATATCAATAGCACCGGAAACTGTGTGGACAAAGCGAAGCACAGCATATCAGCTGCACAGAACGCTTCAAAGATGCAGCTTGGATGCAGCACTGATGCAGCACTTCCAGATCTTAAGATCTCGTCTATCCGTTCCCGTCGAAATTCTTTGACGTTCTACACTAAGAGAATCGTGCGCATTACCCCAGGTGGAGGGCCGATAGTTTTTTGTAGGTTCCAGCGGAGGGAAACACTCTTTTCAGTCACGAGCTTGGAGTCTGTTGTCATTTCCTGATTTTGGGGCAGCTCGAGGAGGTTCCAGTGTGGGGAAACACCCTTTTCAGTCACGAGCTCGGAGTCTGTTGCCATTTCCTGATTCTTGGACAGCTCTTTGAACCTCCGTACATTTGAAATTAATTCGAGACAATAGAAATAAAATTGCGGTGGTCACGGGGGCGCGTTTGTTAATCTTACCAAACAAGAGCAGCAAAAGAGCAGACACGGCTTGCTCCTAACCCTCATCTCTCCCTACCGCCTATGACGGTATCCTCCTCGACATGAAGCCAAAAAACATTCGCCTTCGACGTCGCCTTTCCGGTATTGAGTCGCAGTTGCTACAGATCGAATGTCCTACGAATCGACGCCGCGCTAGTGATCAGTGTTGCGGTGACCCCGGGTCATGACCCCTGGTCAAGAGACAAGGGTCGGCTCCCTTCAAGTTGACCTGACCTGACCTGACCCAGGGTCACCCCTGGGGTCAAGTCATGGACCGATTTTTTTATTTGCAGTAGAATACAGAATGTACGCTAATACTAATCATCGTCAATGATGATTTCGTCAGGCCCACGGTGTCCGGGACCATCCTCCTCAAACTCCGCCATGATGTTGTTCAAATCTGGTGTTCCATCCACCCGATAGGACAGCAACGACCCGTCCCACGTCGAAACAGTCCAGATTTCTTCTTAGGCTTGGATTCCATAACCTGGGACGCATCGCGACGCGCTGCGAGGTGGAGGGGAAAAAAATGAAAAGGAGTGATGAGGCACGTGCTACTAGCTAATTGGGCGCTTGACACGACCTGACCTCCGTGAGCTGAGTTGACTGACCTGACCTGGCCGCTTGACCCTGGGGTCAGGTCAAGGGCCTGACCTGACCTTCGCAACACTGCTAGTGATAGACTGAAGTCGGAGCGAGTGCGCCAGCTGATGAAGGAGAAGCTAAACATCCAAGAATATCTGGACCTCATCGTTTACCCCATTCTCACTCTCCCCGTCGAGCTCACATCGGAGATCTTCCTTCACTGTCTTCCTACCCAGCCAGATCAGCCGTGTACATCGGTCGCGCCGTTGCTTTTGATGAAGTTCGAAGGAAATTAAGAGGTAAAATTCAATGTAGAGTACGACAAAATTCATAGCTTTTATACTACTGCTTTGCCAAGTAATGAATAATCGACTGAGTAAGAAACTGAGTAAGAACTATCGGAAATGAAATAGAAATGTGCCGACTCCGGCACTAGAGACTTCCGGGCACTGCAACACGGATATCAGTGTTGCCGTTGCCGGTAGGACTCGACGTTTGCAACTTCAACACTCCCCCTCAAACTCGAGTCATACCGAGTTTGCGAAGTTGTTCTTCATGCTGGAGGCGAGGTAATGGCTTAGTGAAAATATCTGCTAAATTTTCCTCCGAGGCGCAGTGGTGAACTGAGACTTCGTTAGAAGCCACGATATCGCGAATGAAGTGATGTCGGATGTCGATATGTTTGGAACGGGCATGGTAACCGGCATTGAAGGTGAAGTCGATTGCGCCACGGTTATCGACAAAGATGGGAGTGGGGATCAAAGGAGATAGATCGAGTTCCGTGAAAAGTGATCGAAGCCAAAGGTTTTCTCGCGCCGCGTGAGACAGTGCAATATACTCGGCCTCCATAGTTGACAAAGCCACAGTGGCTTGTTTTTTGGAAGACCAGGTAACTGCTCCCCCTGCATATGTGGAGATGTAACCGGAAATTGATTTACGGTCATCCAGTGAATTTCCCCAGTCGGCGTCAGTGTACAATTTCGGCTCGGAGAAGTCGGCGTGCATGGTGATGGGATTGGAGGTCGCCGAATATGTAATGCCAAGGTTTTTGGTGCCGCTAAGATAGCGATAAACTCTTTTGACAGCCGTAAGATGAGCTGGTCCGGGGTTAATGTTGAATTGGGAGAGAGTTTGCACGGTGTAGGCAATGTCGGGCCGTGTAGTGATGGCCGCATACATCAATCCGCCGACCATAGATTGATACACAGATTTGATCTCGGGATATGATTCCGTCTCTGGAAGCTTTTCCAGTTTCACGTTAGGATCCATGGGGGATGCAACGGCATTACAGGATGTCATGCCATGCTGGTCAAGAATTTTGTTGACGTAGTTGGTCTGGGTAATGGTAATTGTGCCGTTTTTGCGATCCCGGTGGATCTCCATCCCTAGGAGCTGCTTTGCATCACCAAGACGAGTGATCTGGAACGCTGATTCGAGTGCATCCTCGGTGCGAGTAATTAATTCGGGGGTAGATGCATATATGGACATGTCGTCAACATGAACAGCAACAATGGTGATGTCTGCTTCTTCACGTCGCACGTAGACACATCGATCAGAAAGTAGGCGTTGGAAGCCAATCTTCTTAAATTGGGTGTCGAGGGTAATGTTCCACTCACGCCCAGACTGCGGGAGACCATACAGCGTCTTGTGAAGACGCCAAACTCGTGTTGTGCCATCAGAAAAACCCTCGGGTTGTTTCATGTAAATTTCCTCCTTCAGTTTGCCATTCAAATATGCGCCCTTGACATCAACTGTGCGCATTTCCAGGTCATATCTGGCTGCAAGGGCAAGGAGGAGTCGATTTGTCTCGGCACGAACAACTGGAGATGATATTTGATCGGGGTTATAGTCGGTTCCGGGGATCGCCGTGTTTCCTAGAATAACAAGACGTGCCTTGCGGCGTGCAATATCGCCAGCTTCGTCTGTCTTGTTGCGATAAACCCATTTGCTACCCAGAGGTTTCCGTCCCTCTGGCAGCTCGACAAGTGAGAAGGTGCCCAAATCTTTGAGCTGGTGAAGCTCATCCTCCATTGCTTTGCGCCAATCATCGGCGCGTGGATGTTCGGCTGCTTGTCGGTAAGTGCTCGGCTCTGATTCAATGGCAACATTGGCAGTGTCATGAGTTTGAACACGATGGCGCCAGGCATCTGGTTTCCCGGGTGACAAGTTAGCTGGGTTTTTGAGCGTGTGCCAATATTGGGTGTCATTATAAATCTTTGGACCCTGTGCAGCTGTCCGTGGAGCTCTAGGCTCGCGTGGGGGCATCTGTAAAATATTCCGTGGCTTTGACGGCGATGCTGGCTCGGGCACGGATGCCCCTGAGGGTGCTGAGTCGGGTATGGGGTTTATTTCATGATTCCCAGATGGTTCGGCATCGGTTTGTACTGATGCCGATGTCTGACTTGATTTGGGCTCGCTCTGAGTGTCCCTCTCCCCCTCGAGCCTAATCGGGTCAGAGGGTACTGCTGGCTGAGTTGAATACTCGCCAGAGGGTGTCTGAAAGACAATGTTCCGAGAGGTAAGCACTTTGCGAGACTTGGGTTTCATGTAACGCCATGCAGATCCTCCGTCATCGGAGATGCCCACGAATCGGTAAGGGTTTGATTTAGGCGCAAATTTCGAATTGATCTGGCCCT